AAAAAAAAAAAAAAAATATAAAAAAAAAAGAAAAAAAAAGAAAAAAAATAATAAATAAAGAATTTAAAGACTTCTCAGAATTCAATGAAAATGAATACACAACATACCTAAACTTATAGGACACAATAAAAACAGTGCTAAGAAGAAAATTCATAGCGCTAAGTGCCTTCATGAGAGATGTCATACTAGCTACTAAGCAGCACCCCTGAAAGCTCTAGAACAAAAAGAAGCAGGCACACATAGGAGGAGTAGATGGCAGGAAATAACCAAACTGAGGGCTGAAATCAATAAAATAGAAACAAAGAGAACAATACAAACACTCAGTGAAACAAAGAGTTGGTTCTTTGAGGAAAATCAACAAAATAGATAAACCCTTATCCAAACTAACTAAAAAGCAGAGAGAGAATATCCAAATCAACAAAATCAGAAACAAAAAGGGGGACATAACAAACTCCAAGGAAATACAGAGAATCATTAGACCATACCTCAAAAACCTGCTGGGATTCTGTTCACTGCTGTGTGGCTACACAGGGCAAGCTCTGCCATCCCCAACTTCCAAGCATGCTGCTGCAAACCTGATGCCCCACTTCCTCATGCCCCTGGGCAGGATTTCCCTAGGTAGATAACCAAGAATTTGGAATGTGGCTATTTTAAGAGTTCTTAGCTCCTGCCAGCTTCCTCTAGTATCATTGTTGCCACAGGAGTTCCTGAGAATTGCCTCCTTGGCTCTGAGCACAGCAGGCACCCAGCACCATCACCAACTGGGCTCCGTGGTTTACAGAGTGTTCTAAGTGCAGCAAATGACTAATGTCTTGCTGCAGAGGGAGTGAAACAAAAAGCCCACAGAATGGAGAGCAGCTGGCCAACTTCATCTCTGCTGTGCCCTATCCCCAAATTCCCAGTGAACCTATTCTGGCCTGGGGCTTGCCCTATTTTAAGGAAGTCCATTTTCTTGCTGTGCTGTTCTGGTTCCCAGAAGTACCATGCCCTGGCTGATTTGACTGCTCATCACAGCATTGACCAGCCAGTTGTTGCCTGCTCTTCATGGGATGCACCTGTGTGTGAAGGAGCTGCTTCTGTCTCCTCCCTTTCCCAGACTCCTCTCTTTTTTTTTTTCCCCGACTCCTCTCTTTTCAGACCCTCCTATCTTCTAGTGAGGATGAGGAGGATCTTCCCGCCCCCCCCCCCCGGGTCTTCTGTGTAAAACACCACCCAGTAGATGACCTGTGTGTCTTATTATCAAGATTTATACCAATTTCTTTAGTGCTTAAAATCAGGAAAGTGTTTTTCTGTCTCAAAGGATTAATCTGTATCCTCTGTCAGACAATGAAAGTCGCATAACCCTACCAGCATCACCTGTCTTGGTTCTCTTCCAATAGCTACTATTTGTTAGGCTGTTACTATACACCTAGCTCCCTGCTTTGAATTTATAATAGCATCATCTGATCCGCTGGCACCCTTTGATGCAAACATTCTTTCCAAAGAGAAAGCCAAATGCAGCGCCCAAGAGCAGTAGCCCCCTCCTTCTGAACCTCCTTCAGTGCCTCCCACCTCCTCTTGCATGGCTGACCTTTGAGTCCATCTTCTGTCTGGTACGCTTTTATCTCATGTGCCCTTTAACCTTTGTGGGCAGCTGACTTGGCTCAGAAGCCATCCTGAGCCTTTATGTGGAATCAATCCTTATACAATCAGTGTCTTTTCTCCCTTCCACGTGCAGCTTGCTTTAAGTCCCTACCAAATGGCCCTGGTGGCACTCTTTCGGGGACTGTCCTTCGAGATGTGCCAAAGGACACCAGCAATGCCCCGGTTTTTTAGAGAAACAAGGAGATGGTGTCTAACATGACACCAGGTAGTGACAAGTATTGGGAGTTGTGACCTATGGTTTCCCAGAAGGAAGAATTATTGGAGTTTTTTTGTTGTGACAGTGGCAACCCCTCTTCAATCATTAGGCATCCCAAGTTCTCATGGGAAGAAGTTACTAGCCATGGCAGCATTGGCCCCTTTTCCCCCAACAGGCCTGCATGGTCTGCACCCACCTTTGAGTCTTTGAGATTTGGCCTCCTTCAGAACAAAAGCAGACTTCAAAGTGCTTTCAAAGTGTTGGTCTTTTTCTGCAGGAACCACTGACACCCCACAATCTGCCAACCCCTGGGCCTGATGGACATTTTGCCTTTGCCTTCTCACTATGCAGGACATGCAGGTGACAGGAGTGGAGGATGATAGCCGTGCCCTGAATATCACCATCCACAAGCCTGCCTCCAGCCCACACTCTAAGCCCTTCCCCATCCTGCAGGCCACCTTTGTGTTCTCTGATCATATCCGTTGCATCATCGCCAAACAGCGCCTGGCCAAGGGCCGCATCCAGGCCAGACGGATGAAGATGCAAAGGATAGCTGGTAAGTCACATCAAGAGCAGGGGCTCACCACCACGGGGCTGTCACCAGCTGCTCACATTGACCTAGGAAAGTCCAGGGTTCCTGTAGATGAGAGCAGGAAGTCAGGACTCACTGTGCTTCAGAGAATAGGGTGTTTCTGCATCTCCGGTGTTTGGAGTGGAGAAAATTTCCAGGGCTGTGTGGAAAAGAAGGTGACTCTCCCTACCAGACAAGAAGCTAGAATCAGGCAGTGGTAGGAGACAGCTGTCCTTACTCTTGATGCTGAAACACCAAGTGCACCAAGAGTGCTTTGACCGCTGCCTGCCATGTTGGGTATCCAAGCAGCCCTTAGATCGGTAGAGCCTTTTGTGTCCATTGTACAAGAGGAAACTAAGGCTGTGAATTTTTAGTCACAAATAAAACAAGTTTGCAGAGCTTCCTACTTGGAATTTTTGTTCCAGCTCTGGGGATGAAGCCCAGGGCCCCACACATGCTAGACAAGGACCGCCTCTGAGCTGCCCTAGCCTAGCAGAATTTCTCTCACCCTTCCCTCCTCTCCCTGTTACCTCTCCGTGAGAGCCAGCACCCAGAACTAGATTCAGGGGCCATCTCACACCTCACAAGGATGGTGGGGTCTGCACTGCCCAGGCTGTCTTGGTAAATAAGGGCGTTTCTTCACCTCCTGAAGTAGAACTAGGCAAAGCATTGTCCTGGGGCAGAGTGGAGTGGTGCAGTCCTAATGTTTCCTTCAAGACTCCCAGGTTAGAGCTGTAGCTCAGATGGTAGAATGATTGTCTAGCATATACAAAGCCCTAGGTTTGACCCTTGACACCATATCAAACTAGTTGTAGTGACACATTCCTATAATCCTAGCACTTGGGAGGTGGAGGCAGAAGGCATACAAGTTTAAGGTCATTGTCACTATATAATGAGTTCAACATCAGCCTTGGCTACATGAGCTCCTGTCTCACAAAAGATATAAGTGAATGAATGAATGAGTGAATGAATGAATGAGCGAACAAACAAACAAAGTTAGTACCTTTGGCTCAGGTCCAAATCTAGCCCACTATGAAGAGGGCATTCTCTCAGAGATCAAAGGAAGAATAATCTCTGGGTACACTGGACACTGAAGTTATGATGCTGTGCATGCCTCCATGATGTGCACACAAGTCACCCCCTCTTATTTCTCAGTTAGCTGAAACCTGGCCTGCGAAATCATGACAGGAGTGTTTTGTCATGTATAAAGTAACTTAAATCATTCAGCACTCCCTTTCAAGATTTATTTCCCGACTTTTCCCCTGTAATATGAATCAGTTTCTCACAGCTGTCATGAAGGCCAGATATTTCATTTGAAAATTGAGGATTGCACTATAAAGTGACTACTAGCATAAACACCTCGGATATTTTTGATTTTGAACGGCCGCTCTGAACTGATATGAGAGTTGTTTAAGGGAAGACGATAGCTATGACATGTAAACACACACTCATAAATACAAACGTACATATACACACACACACACATATATATATATGCTTTCTTGTACACATATTCTCATAAGCATTTATAGTCAAGATTACACACACACACACACACAATACACCCCGTCAAATTGAATAATCTGAAATAGGGCTGGAGCAATGGCTCAGTCAGTAAAGTGCTTGCCACACAACCATGAGGTTTTGAGTTTAGATTCCTCAGCATCCATGTAAAAGCAAGGTATGGCAGCATGTAGCTATAATCCTAGCCATTGGGAGATGGAGACGCTCCATGGCTCAACCAGTGAGTATCATAAACTAAGGAAAAGTGTTTGCAAGGTGACTCAGGAAGTAAAGGTGCTTACCACTGGGTCTACCAGCCTGAGTTCAATCCCTAGAACCTATTTGGTGAACACAGGGTACTAACTCTTGCAAGTTGTTCTCTGACCTCCACACATTTGGCATGCTACATATTGGTGCCTGTATGCACATGTACATGTCCACACACACACACACACAAAATAGATGTATGTAGAAAAAAAACCTTTTTAAAGTTGGATAGCATTCAAGGAAGATAGCATTGATCTCTGACCTCATGTACACCCACACATATACATAAATAATACAAAAAAACTTTGAAAAAAAATCTGCATTTGTATTGAACCTATGCAGAGTTTTTCCATGAGTTTACTCCCTAAACAGTGTAGGAAAGAATGCCTTCTGTAGTACTTGGATTGCATTAAATGTAAGTCATCTAGAGATGATTGACAGTGGGCAGGATGTATATAGGTCATGTACAGATATAATTGTATTCTACATAAGGGACCTAACTACAGGTTTTAGTATCTTTGGGGAGGAGTCCTGCAGATACTGAGGGATCACTCGTTTGTATAGCTTGTTTGTCTGTCCATGTATGCCTATGCACAAACTTGGGACAGAATTGGCCTCATTTGCTGTGGGATCTGACAGCATGTGAAGCTAAGCCTTTGGGATCTTTTGTACAGGTCCAAAGTGCAAATTGGCCCAGCATTTGTTCTCTCCAGCCAGGCCTGAAACCTTTGCATTTTTGTCTGAACCTTGGCCTAAAGCCCCTACTTCTAGTTGTGTTTTGACTTCCTTAGGGTCTCTGGCATTCTGCCAGTCTCCTACCTCAAGGCTGTCTGTTTGGGTTCCCCCAAGTGTTGCACTGTCAAGGCCAGTATCTCTCTAGCCTGATGCTCAAGTCATATCAAATTGTCTGTCCCGTGTTCCACATGCTAAGAACAAACTCTGGTGCTGTTTGATTATAGCCCTTCTGGACCTCCCAATCCAGCCTACAACTGAAGTCCTGGGATTTGGACTTGGCTCCTCCTCCTCCCAGCACCTGCCTTTCCGTTTCTATGACCAGTGCCGCCGAGGCAGCAGTGACCCCACAGTGCAGCGCTCTGTGTTTGCATCCGTAGACAAGGTGCCAGGTAAGCCTGTCCTTCTGCTCGGGGCTCAGGGTGCTTTCCTGCGAGGCCTGCTGGAAGTCTTCCTTCTCAGAAGCCAGGCTGCTGGAAGCCGCAGCTTCATAGAGCACAAGTGAGGCACACCTAAACTGCGATCTTGGCTTTCCCTTCTTTCTTCCGTCACTTGGGTTTGCTTTTCCAGAGAGTTGTTAGGTATGTGAAGAAAGTTCTCAGAATCAGGACTAAAAAGTTTCTTGGATATAGGTGGCTGGTTAGTATTGAAGGTTGTGGAGAGATGTCTTCCTTCTTGTAAGATGACTAGGATAGTGTGTGGTTCCTGGTACCCTGAGAAGGGTAGACACGTGAGGAAGTCCCAGTGCCCACAGGCCTTCTGCTTCTCCCGTCTAGGAGCAGCTCCTCCCACTTCCGACAGCTCTGTCTCCAGCCCTTCTACCATTCTTCAAAAAGGGAAACTTGTGTGGAAAGTTGAGGGGAAGCAGAGCAGCGCAGCACTCAGTCCCTACCCTGACACATGGACCTCAGTAGATGCATATGCAGCAGATCCCACAAGCCGGGGGGGGGAGGGGGGATGAATTTCTTCTCTTAATTAGAAAACGGAGAAGACTGGCCAGGCTCTCCTCCACTCTTAACATGTCCATGTTCAGGGCTCAAACTTGAAAGTATTATGAGATGGTCTCAAAAGTGATTGTTGATGTTGGAACAGCAAACAGCAATGACAGCCTGCTCAAATCCAAGACCTTGTCCACCTGTGGTTTAGTCTGCTTTCATCCATGATTTGATTTATGTCATGTATACCATAATTATATAATTTCTAAAAACCGACAAGATTTGATAAAATGCAGACAAGTTGAGCCAGGCATGGCACCTTTAATCCCAGCACTTGGGAAGCAAAAGCAAGAGGATATAGAGTTTGAGGCCAACCTGGTCTACAAAGTTAGTTCCAGGACAGCCAGGGCTACACAGAGAAACCCTATCTCAAAAAAAAAAAGTAAAGAAGTCTCTTTTGCTCTAGAGGTAAACATGTGAACAGTTTCTTGTGTGTCCTTCTAGAAAAGTTTGTTTGCATGTCATAAGTATGTCTTTGTATCATACGCAGAGTTATATGCTATGTATGTGATTCTATATGTGATTCCCCACTATGGGTACTTAATTTGAAGTCAGCATTATATGTTAGCACAAATAATTGACTTATTAACTATTGCCTGGTATTCTAGTGGATGTCTGGAACAAAGCATTTTTCCACATTTTATGTTGATAGACATTCCACCACACCCTGATAGGGAAAGGTTTTAAATTCTGATCGATACAGTCCTAAGGTGAACAGCAAGAGAAAGTCACTTGGCAACCCCTCACCTGTAACAGCTTTCTCTCTGAATGGCTAGTTTAGGCTGTGAGTTGCATGGCAGCCTGTTTTCATCTTCAGCTAGGAGGTGTGAGATGGTGCTACCTTTTGGATCCAGGTTCTCCTTATTAAAAGTCTTCTGGTCTACCACATTGGAAACAGTGGTTGCTCAGTTGATACAAATTACCACAACTGAGGGTAGGTAGATTGACACACCCTGGCCTGGTAAGAAATTCCCTCTTTGAGGCATCAGACTTCTTTCCATCCCAGAACTTATTGGTAAAGAAAATCCCTGAGTCCTGTTTCTAGCTAGTCCTTAGTACCAGGTGGGGGTGCAGCAGGCTAAGACCAATCCTACCTGTCCTCAGCATCTGCACCGTTTCTTTGTTAGCACAATGCAGGAGATAGCAGTTCTCTTCCTGGCCTCCCAGGCCTGCCAGCGCTGCCAGGGTCTATGAAATCATCAGAGTGGAGCTTGGGCCTTTGCTGGTTCACACAACCATGACATTGCTGTGTCCTGCTGCTGATCCCGGGACCAGAGGATATGAGGCCATACCTATAAGATCTAGAGTATGTCCCAGGGAACTGCTGCAGGAGGCCGTCAGACCCTTAGTTGGCTCTAGTAGAGCCATAAAGCTTGGACAGGGATGAGACATTGTCATTTATGTCCCCATGAGCTCTTCTCCTTCCTACAGGCCCCACTGCATAACTTGATGCTTACTAGAGAAGTGCCTGCAGGTGCTTAGGAAGAAAGCCCTGGGCCCTGAGCCCTCAGAAGGGTGGGTGTTCCGTGAAAGGAAGGGTGGCAGCCCACCACCATCTTCCCAGCACTTAGCACCCCAGCAGCCACTCAAGCACTCTGCTCAATTTCCTCTCCATGACACCCCGGTGCTTTGTTTGCTCTACCCCAAAGATGCTCCCTGCAGACTTGCCAGTAGATCACAACAGGATCAACTTCCTCATTGTGAACAGTTTCCACCAACTGGGTATTTCCAGAAGCCTACACCTCTCCCTCTGATCTCAAGTGGTCACTAGGATGCACTCACTTGGGCACCTGCGGCAGCCCACTCATCAGCCCTCCACCTCCCTTTAGCACTCCTCAGGCTGTGGACTTAAGGCCCCTTCATGTCTTTTCAAAGTCCTGGGTGTTCAGAGAGCTTGAGTTTTTGTGGATTGTGGCTATCCATGTTCATAATACTAGAAATTGAAGCTAAAAAATGCTTTGCATAATTACTTGATAGTCTATCACATATAAAACATCAAAAGCATAACCATCTGTGAAAGGTGATTCTGTTCAGACTTTACAGTTTGGGATCTTACTGTGTGGCACAGTAGCAGTCAGGCCTGCCTGAGAGCTTCTGCATCGGTCTGTTTAAGGAGGAACCTTCCTTGGTCACCTTAGAGAGAGGCGTACAAAAGGAAAGGGTGACTTACTACTGTCTGCAGGCTTCAGAGCACACCTAGAGACCCACTGCTGTGCCATGAAGTCCTGCCCTGCCTCAGTGGCCTTACACTGGCTGCTTTACCTAGCTCTTGGGCGCCTACTTCCCAGGGATAGCCCAAGCTCAGTATGTGGGCTGCTTCCTCCAGAGGCCTTTTGTGAGTATTCTGCTAATCAGGGCCACACCCTTCCCCCACCACATTGCACTGGTTTATTTTCTCTACAGGGTTCAGTTCCATAGCTGGCTGACATATTTGTGTCCCTGAATGTGGTTTCTTTCCCCATGGAGAATGTCACTGTGTGAAGCTGTTCTATTCACCACTCTATTTCAGCGCCCAGATGTGACTTTATTCAGTATTTGTCAAGTGAAATGTAAGCCTGCACTTCCCTCCAAAGTTGTCTTCTTTGTCTGAACACCAAGAAGAAAAGGATATCCCATCTAGGACCTCAGGCATCCAGGGGCTTAGTCTGCCCAGGGAACATAGGAGGACCAGATCTTCAGCGACACCGCCATCTAACTTCTGTTGCCAGACTGACATATCTCTCCCAAGCAGGGGTACTTGGCAATAGTTTAGGTGGTTGCCTGTCGCAGCATGTGCTCCCTCTCCAGTCGCCTTCCTCAGCTTTGCAGAGCCAGAGTCAGGAGAGCCAGGTGGAAGGGTGGCCATTAACCTCCACTCTACAGCACCTCAGGGTGCCGTGTGTGACCCTTGCCCCCTTCTGAAAGGATACCTCAGGCTATTGACTAAGGGGATTCTTACCAATTCAAAGGGAGAAACAAACTCAACCTGTGCATGGGCAGTTCTCAGGGTTCACTTGTTTGGGACACATCTTTCCTTTTTGTCTGTGTCCCAAGTGATGTGCAGACCAGTGTGACTCTCCTTTAGACTCTAAGTTTGATTATATTTGATGGAAGTATACCTCACACTTCCTTGGGGGAATAGTAAGATGGAATATAAGCCAGGCTGGGAAGTTAGCAGCCAGCCACTCTCAAGTGTTTCTTCCTCTCTTTGGCTAAGAAGTTACAAATTCTGTGTATCTGTATTGATGTAGATACATCAGATGTTCTGTAGTGATGGCTCTTGCCGCCCCCGTAGTCAGCTTCCTGGAGCAGAGTCTGAGTGACCTGGTCAGGGAGGGAATGTCAGTGGTAGCCAGCATGGGGGCAACAGCTGCTTGAGGAGTGCCCCAAGCTCTCACAGCAGTAACTACTTCTGAAATTTGCCATGGCCAGCAAGATACGCACAGGGCAGCCTTGAACTGGTGTTTCCATAAATGCCAGGTGAAGATTCCAAGCAGAAGCTCTTCCCAGCAGAACTTCTTTCTTATGGCTGAATTATGTTCCTTGCATGAATATACCACACTTTGCTAATTCATTCCCCCCACTTAAATAGACCTTTTGGTTGTTGTAACTAGGAACCTTTATATGTAGGTTTTAGCTTCAAAGCATATGCCTCGCTAGCAGTGGCCAAATGATCATTTAATGTTTTGAGACCTGCCAAACCATGTTTCCTCAGTCTTTTCAACCTTTCAGCTGAAATTGCTGTCTATTTTCCGTTTGCACTGTGGAGCTGCATTAGAATAGAAAGGACGTGGGAGGAGCCTATTTCTCTAGGCAGTACTCAGGGGACAGCTCAGGCAGGAGGAGAGCCCAGGGAATGGGTGTGTGTTGTCTTCCCATCAATCAAGCCTGCCATGGGCTGGCCTTTCTTGTCCTGCTCAAGTCTGGCTCTGCACCAGTTGGTCATGGTCACAGGTACCAGCGGAGTCAGATTTGGTGCTGTTAGGGCCATTCTCTGCTGTTCCTCTCTTTCCTGCCAGGTTGAGGAGTTGTCTGTCTTGGGCCAGACACTTAAATCCCAGAGGAGGGGTTGGTGAGCTATGTCAGTTGGCAAAATGATGGTTGCATAAGCAGTAAGAAGCCAAGGGCAATGCTGTGGGGGTGGGACATCAGATCCTTGCAGCTCCCTGCCTGGCCACCCTAGTTTACTTGGTAATATTGAGACCAATGAGAGAGCCTGTCACAGAAAACAAGATGAATGCTGCCTGAGGAAGAAGACTCAAGATTGCTCTGTGGCCTCCACAGGCATGCACATGTGAACATATACTTGCACGCGAATACATCCTGGGGATCTGGGAAGGGCTGTTGTCCAGGTGTCGTCAAGGCAAACAACCAGCCTTATCAGTTGCCTGGCCCAGAATACTTAATAGCTCCCTGGG